CAAGTATTTCAGTAGACCATATAACTGAGGGAAGGCACACTTTTTTCAAGCACATTTCATAAAAGAATTATTACCCTAATTTCCAAAACATGTAAGACATTTAAAACAGATGCTAGTATCAGGCAATAAACTTGAGTGACATATTGGAAAATCCTGAATGAGAATAATTGATAGCTCACATCAAATTCAATACCACATTCATAAGACCAGACTTCATGATCAAGCAGGAACACTCAAGGTTCGTCAACAACAAAAGAACACAGCACACACACCACACTGAGGTCAGTCCTAAATCAGACGTCAGTGGAATGGAATGCCTAATTCAGGAGGAAACCTGGGATTATGAAAGTGTTACTACAAACACCAAGTTCCACAAACACAAGTGTCACATTTTGTTCACTCCAGGTCATGAGCAGGCAGGGGGATAGCCTGTGCATATGGTCCCAATTCAATGGGTCGTGAAGTGAAATATAGCAGATAAATATGATCAAAGTAGAGTACAGACAAATATCAAAGTCATGATCAAATTCCTCATCCTATGCATTTAATATATAACACTAAATTTGTAAAAAACAAGAACACAGCCAAAACCGACAAAGACGTTGATAAAAGGAAAATAGCTTGAAATGAAGCAAGAGGAATTACAGGGAAAAATTAGTACCCAAACCAATAATGTACATGAAGAAATAAAAAAATGCCAATTGCCAATAGCCCCAACTGAGAACCTGGGAATTAAACTCACTATGTCCAGATCCAACCGGTCAGAAAAAAAGGTCAAGTATATGGGAAACAACTGAGTCCAACTGCTCTCCCAGCAACCAACTGCTTCTCTGAGGTACACGACAAAACCCAGCCTCAGGCGGTGCCTTTTGATTGGCTAGTATCTAGCATACCTCACCAGATTCCATGTGATGTCACATACAAATGACCAATCAAGGCTTGACAAGAAATCAAAGTGATTTTTAAAATTATTTTTCCGTTAAATTATTACATTAATTATTAAATCTTTTTTTTTGTTCACATTCTTGCCCCCAAGGACAAATGCCCCTAGCAGAGAGGGCTGCTATCCCTCCCCACCCCACTCCTGTTACTGTTTCAGAAGCCACAAAGATTCATTGCTGTGACAAAAGTCATACATTGCCCATATCTCTCCCACCCACCCCATGAATACAATCAATGAGGTCCCCAAGTAGCCTAAATTCCAGATCCCATGCTCTGTCATGTAGCATAGTTCTCATGTTAACCAAGCCTGCTTCTTGATATTGAAGCAATTCCTTTCCCCTCAGAAACTATGACGTTCATGAAGACATACTTTGTCTGGCAGGAATAAAACCCCTTCAGACACCCAATGTGTGTCCAGTCCATCTTTACTAATGATCTTTTGTCTGAAAGGAAAATCGATCCTAGCATCACTATCCTTCTGTAAGCTCCCTCCTCTCATGAAATGTAGAAAATACAGCTAGGTGGTGGTGGCACATGCCTTTAATCCCAGCACTCAGGAGGCAGAGCCAGGGGGATTCATTCACACATACAAATTGACACAAAGCAGAGCACACACACAACATTGAGGTAAGTCCTATATCAGATATCAAAAAAATGAAATGCCTTTTTCAGGAACACATTTGGAACTAGAGAAAGTGTTACTTCAAATATTCCAGTTCCACGAACACAAGTTTCACATTTTGTTTCCTAGGGGTCCTGAACATGTAGAGGGAAGAACCTTAGATCATTAGGAAGTACTTGTCACAGTCGATGTGTGGATAAGTCAAATAGAGCATGTACATAGGATCAAAATGCAACATAGTCAGATTGGGAATTCAGGATTAAATTCCTCATGCCATAGAGATAATCTATACCAGTATGTGTGTAAATTACACACAAACAAAGGCAAAAATGACAAAGAAAAGAAGTTGATAAAAGGAAAATGAGGTGGAACGAGGAAAAAGAACTTACAGGCAAAAATCAAAACCCAAACCAATGATGTCAATAAAGCAATGAATAGATACCAAGAGACAAAAGCCCAAACTTAAAACCAGGTTAATGTACTCACTAAGTTGAGAATCCTACAGGTTTTGCAAAGTCCAAATCTAGCAGATACAACTGAATCCAACTGCTCTTCAGAGAACCAACTGCTTCTCTGAAGTACAAAGATGAAACCCAGCCCTATGTGGCGCCCTTTTATTGGCTGATATCTAGCTTACATCACTTGGACTCCTTGTGATGTCACATGCAATGGTCCATTCAAGGCTTGGCAAAATCCATAGTGATTTTTTTCTCTCACTTTCTTGTTTCTGCCACTCTACTTCTAATTTTTCTCATGTGTGGTCTAATAGTTGGCAAAGAAGGCAGAGTTTATTTAACTTAAGATTTATAGAAACACAATTCAACACAAGGGGAGGAAATAATATCGTGGACATCAGCAGAGTTGTCCAGTCAGTCATATGGCATTTGTAATCTTAATATTCTTGTCTCATATCCTTGTCCTCCCCAAGTAGTATTAGTGTGATCTTAAGCATGTGTCTCTAGTCAGGCAGTGTCAAGTTATCTTTTAGTTGCCATGACAGATACCGTCAATCAGTGGTTCTTTCCCTCCTCCAGTCCTCTCTCATTTAACACTAAAATGCATGAGATACATGACCTAGAACTGACCATGTTGAAAAGTGTCCTATCCTCCTTCAATGAGCATCTTCCATAATTGACACACTGCTGAAAATATGTAGAAACCCTACATAAAATCCCTCTAGTTTCTACGTTCCAGGAAGACACTGTCTTCCAATCAATGCCCAGGCTCTCCTTACCTACTGCAGTTAGTAAAACTTCCCTTGCCTTTGTGTCTCATTTCTGCTTACTTTGGCTCTGCAGTCACCATCATGAGAGCCCTTGGTGTTCCAACATGGTGCCTCTAACCTCTCAGTGTAAACACCCAGCAGGCATCAGGGATTCTCTTCCCTACTTTGTCAAGGACCTGTGATGTTAGACTATTTGTAACCTATCTGTGTATCTTTCAGGGTAAAGAAAGTAAGATTTCCACAGAGGATGAAGAAGAGACAGTCCACCTGGATGAACATGGTTCAGCAAGCATCTCTTTAGTGGGATGTGGCAATTTTGGGTATATTCTCAAGAGTGTTATAGCTGGATTTTGAGGTAATTTGATTCCCATCTTCCTGAGAACCTTCCATACTGGAGTTCATATTGGCTGGACAAATTTGCACTTCTACAATGAATGGATGAGTGTTCCCCTTGTTCCACATCTTTGCCAGCAGGAGTTGTCACTTGTTTTATTGACCTAAACCATTGTGATGATGTAATATGAAATCTGTGAATTGTTTGGATTGGCATGTCCTTGAAGGCTGAAGATTTTAAACATTTTTTAAGTGTTTCCCAGCCACTTGAGTTTCTCTATGGAAACCTCTGTTTAGACCTCTAACCAATTTTTCAAGTGGATTCTTTGTTTATCTGATATGTAGTGTTTAGTTTTTGTTATATGTTTTGGCTATTATCTCCATAACATGTGCGTAGTTGATAAAAAGAAACTTGTCTCATTCTATAGGCTGCCACTTTGTTGTAATGATGTTGTCCTTTGCTGTGCAGAAGCCTTACAAATTTATGAGGTCCAATTTATTCATTTATTAATCTATTTTTGGTTTGTTTTTTTTGTGTTAATGTTTTTCTGTTGAGAGTTTTTCTGTAACAATGAGTTCAAGGTTATATTTTCTCATATGAGGTTATTTGTATCTGTTTTTATATTGATCTCTTTGTTCCATTTGGAGTTGACTTTTGTGCAGTGTGATAAGTGTGGATCAATTTGGATTCTTCTACATGCAGGAAACAAGTTTGACCAACACAGTTTGTTGATGATACTGTCATTTTTACACTATGCATTTTGGTTTTCTTTCAGTATGTCTGAGTTTTCAATTCCATGCCATTCTTTACAGTGTCTCTCTGTCTGCCATTTCTGCTGTGTATGTAACTATACCTCTGTAGTACAACTTCAAATAGGGAGTAATTGATCCATCACACAGTTCTTTAATTATGGAGAAATCATATTTTTAAAGACACGTGCATTATAGTGGCAGTAGCCCGGGACCCTGGAACAGGAGACTTCTGGACAATAGGACTGGAGTTCTCACCCAGGCAGGAGTCCATATCCAGTCCCTGCTTCAAACAACAACCAAGAAAAGAACACACCAAAGTCCAGATACATAGATTAATTTGCTACTCTGCTGTGAGAAAACACTGACTAGAAGCAAGGAAGGGAGCAAAGAGTTTATTTCATCACAGTTTAAATCCCATCATGAAGAGTAAGCCCATGCCAGAACTATAGACATTAAGGTAAATCTCTACTCTCAATTTTAGGTGAATTATTTAATGAATCAATACAGCAGAAACAAATTTGCAGTCCTTCAGTTGATTCCCAAGCTCTTGGTGATCTGTATACTCAGAAAAGGGCCACACACCTGGTGATGGCTGAGATACTGAGATCTGGAGAAATGGATCCTCCAGGTGTGACATTTAATTGAGGGTGATGCCACACCCCTTCCATGAATTCCAGTAGGATCCCAGGTGGGCCAAGCCTCATTGGTAATTTTGGGCATGATCTGTTCACTTCAGGTGGAGATGTTTCAGGGATGTGGCTGTATGCCAGGGGCATGGCTGGCATAGATGGCAGGTCAGGATGCTGCAGCAGGTGTGGGCCTGTGAAGGGATAAGGCTTCAGGCCTGAATGTGGTCTCCATGCTGAGCTGGAGCAGTGGGTGAAATGGAGCTCAGTTTCTAGGCTCTGACCTCTCCTGACTACATGGAAGTCCTTTGGTGGCCAGTGTGGGTGAGCCAGGGGCACTTATTTCAATCTGCCTGCAGCTGCAGGGGAGTCTATGTAGGCAAAAATTCTGCTTCCACTCATCCTCCAATCCCCGACCTGGTATGCGTCCCAGAAAACTTGAACCAGAAGGCTAGCTGACAGGGACAGAGGAACAGAGATCCCATAGGGAGGCTTTGTGGGACCATGATTTATTGAGTTTGGAAAACCATGGTGTTATTAAACTTTGTTTATATTCAAAATGATTTAGGATTATTTTGGCTTTGGATTTACACTCTAAATATTTATACATAATATAAGCAACACACAATAAATGTGGAAATTATTCAAATAAAATCAGCTCATGGTAAATGTGTTTCTTATGTTGCTTAGTATACCTGCAGAACTCTGAATCCTGTGGTGGTTATTTTTAAGAAGACAGTACCACTTTTCATTTAGAATGTATTTGTATGTATTGATTTTTTTTGTGCCTGAGTTTTTCCGCGTAGTTTGAGTTTGTGTATGGAAAAATCTATCTTCTCCTTGGGCTGGAGATATGGCTCAGTGTAGATGTAACCAACCATCTTATTAAATAAGAAACACAGAACCAATGTAAAAGAGAAAGCCAAGAGGTCAGAGCTCAGAGATAAAATCTCACCCTTCCTCCTGCAGTGGTCCTAGCTTCTCGAAAGAGAGCTACTTCCTGTGTGTACGTCTTTTCATAATCTTTTTGTTCTGCCTTCTCATTGGTTGTAAACCCAAACACGGGACTGCCTCAACACTGTCTGTATGTACAGCCCCCCATGTCTTAAAGGCATATGTCTGCAATGCTGGCTGTATCCCTGAACACACAGAGATCTACCTAGCTCTTCTACCAAGTGCTGGGATTAAAGGCATGTGCCACCACTGCCACACTCTTGCTATGGCTCTAATAGCTCTGACGCCCAGGCAACTTTATTGATTAACATACAATCAAAATCACATTTCAATACAATTAGAATACCACCACATTTCCCCTTTTCTATTTTAATAAAAAGAAAAAAAAGCAGAAGGTTATAACTAACATAAAAATGTATATACAAAAGTAGAATAACTATATACAATATATACAAGTAATAAATACCTAAACAATGTGTAGTCCATTTGTATTTGACAAATCAGAGAAAATAATTCCATTATCTATCCTATTTTGGTAAATCCAAGATGTATCTAATTCACTTTCTATCCTAATTAATCTTCAACTATAACTAACTAATCTTCAACTATAACTAACTAATCTTCAACTCCCTCACAGATCCACGAAGGAAATAATATTAGCTAACAAAAATAAAAACAGGAAGTACATGCAAGCAACTTCCAAAAATTTTGTGAGTTGACAGAAACAACCAGCTGCCTGGACAGTCACCTGAGTTTTCTCCGCAGTGTTGGGGCATCATCTTAAGCCTATAGGCTTAGTGTATCTGACAGTCTCATTTGTGAAGTAGGATGTACACAAGGTCAGCAGGTCATCCTCACATTGGGTGAGAGCAGTCCATGTACCAGAAACACCTGAATTCCACTAGTGTCATGTCATGATTCAGGATTTTAAATTTTGGAAATTGTTGATGGTTTTTGAATTCAGCTGTCCATTCTTCTTGGCTGTGTATATATGGCTTCATCTCAGCATCC